AATGCTTGCACACTTGAAGGCGAAGATTCGTGTTCGCGATCGATCCATGACGCAGTGCTTGACCACATCAAAAATAGTTCACTACGTCGCGATAATTCGTTTCGCGGGAAACATGGAAGAGGCGGTTACGCTGTATCATACGGCGGCTAACAATTATTTACTACATCTTCATTACTTGAACAAAAATAAAAAGGTCGAAAAGAGGAATAAAACGCGATGGTGGATGTTATCTATACACAAAAATTGGTTTGGTAAATATCCTTGCCTGCTCCACAAATTCAACGATTTTTTATATTTATTTAGATGCGCTCTATAATAAGCCATTAGGGATTTCATTTTTGCTTTTAGTTCCTCAACCAAAACAGGCCAGCTTAAATCAGATTCATAATTTTGTATGAATTTTAATATCCTCTCATTACTCCAATCCATGATTAACAAGTTCAATCAAACACGTTCAAACCTCTCGTCATCTCGCAGTCAACTAAAGCCCGCGAAGTGTGGCCAACCACACGAACTTTGTAGCGACAAAACCCTTTGATGTGCGGCAATTTACCGATAGCGGCGTGAAGGGTATTTGTATTCGCGAAAATGATTCGCGATAGGACGGATTTAACCAGACGTATCGAGACATTGCAAATCATCGCGTTATCGCGAAAGTGTCGCCCTAGCATAAGCTATTTTTGGTAACATACATGAATATAGAGTCTCCCTTGACAGTGGGTCTACTAGACATATCTAAAATCTTCTGACATCTTACAGTTACAAATATCCAAAATTAACTTCGATATATCTGGAATTGGTCAATCAGATACTAAGGTCTCCCACAACAAAACATCTGTCAAAATCCAATCTAAATTTTGTTATTTTCAGATTACTTTGTCCGGTTTGTTTTTGCCTTCCATCACTGGAAAGCTTTCTTAGTCTACCACAGAAATTAATCTCGGCCAATCCTCCAAAAAACAAATTTAGGGTGGATAATATTAGGGCCTCTACCAAGTTCACCATGCCATGCTCGTGTTGTTTGTAATCTCAGGCCTAACAAATAGAAAAGATTCCTAGCAAAAATTCCTTTCCGACGAGAAGGAAATTTGGGAATAGATATTCAAAGGAACGGTCCAAGATATTGACGCTGTAGTTGCCATTCCTTTGAAACTTCCCGAGTCATAGCTCGGCGAATCAAAATCGAACAGTTAAATAATTTTTAAATCTTTAGCGGGAATTCGAACCAAATCCCAACTATATAGAAATCTCAATATCACGCGTTCATCCGCGAGTACATCGATCTCGGATACAAGTCATCAAGTCAAAATCAAGACAATAGCAGTTTTTTTTACCACACCACTGTGCCAATGACGGGTCTGCCAAGTCTACCTCGGGCTGATCAGTCGGCGGCCCTACTTGCAATTCGCTCGCTACATGAAGTAGCTCGGATTCATCAGGTGTCATATCCTTCAACTTGTCGCGTAACCATATAAGATTTTTACGTAGATGACCTTCTGACGGGCACAGAAACAGTGGATCAGGCTCTAACTGTGAAGGCAGAGCTTACTAACTTACTCAATCGACATAGTTTCCCCCTGCGGAAATGGTCCTCAAACCATAAAGATATTCGACTAGCAAATTCGAACACTAAACACATCAACGCCTCCTCTCTCCTGCTCGACCATTCCTGTCTGTAGGAATCCATTTTTCTGGACCATTTACTATCAAACTTAACAAGGCGCTCAATTCCAAATTCTCAAAGGCTTACATTGCTATATTTGGGTGACTAGCAGTTAAGGCAATCTCACAATTGAATGTTTTCTCGCCGCTTTTAGAAGATTCACTTCTCGCATAGGTATTTGCTTCAACATAATCTCAGACAATGGAATAACCTTTGTGTGTGCCAGTAGGGTAATTCATCTTAAATCGAACCAATGAAATTTCGGAAAACCAGCTATTGACGATATTAAATGGACATTCATACCACCTAGATCACTCACCTTGGGGGGGCTTTGGGATGCTGCTGACAAGACAGTAAAACATCACTTAAAAACGAACTATCGGTTAAACGCGACTAACCTTTGCAGAGTTTTCTAAGGTATTGGCCCAAATTGAAGCGTGTGTGAATTCTAGACCTCTGTAACTTCTATCGGACGATCCCTCAGACACTTCTCCTGTCACACCCGCACATTTCATCAGCGGAAAACCATTGATGGCTACACCAGACATAAATTGGTTTAACGTTCCTGAAAATCAGTTATCTCGCTTCCTTCGCCTGCAGAAAATGACGCAGCACTTCTGGGCCAGGTGGTCCAAAGAATATGTCTCACATCTACAGAATTTCGCTCAACGTCTCAAGGTTGGCACTCTGGTGCTAGTTGAGGAAGATGGACTCCCCCCACTTAAATGGCAGATCTGCAGAACAATTGAACTGACCATATCACTCGTGCTATCACGTTGAAAACTTCGACCGGAGATTACAAGAGGCTATCAGTCAAGCTGTGTCCTCTTCCAATTCGTGACAGCGACAGCATTTCATCATGTTGAAAGCTTGGAGGCTTTTAGGGGGTGGCCCAGGTTACTCCAATGGTCATTCGCCGCACGTCACTGCTCCACCAGACGACACGACTACGCAAGCGCGGCCGGTGAAATCAATCCTTTGACGAGTAGAAAAAAGATGATACCTAAGTGGTCTTGTGCCTACTACTCCGAAGAACCCTTTTCATCCATTTTTAGACTGTATCAACTTTTCTGGCTAGACGACAAATGCAAAAAAACTTTTCTCACGGGGTTAAATCAACCGTTTCGACGGGTCCGAAAATACCTATGTGGTCTTATAGCTACTAATAAAAGAAACACCTTCTTTCCATGTTTAGCCTGTAGCAACTTTTCTAGCTAGGTGAAAAATGCGAAGAACTGCATCTTCTCACGATAAAGGGGTGAAATCAACCCCTTAGACAGGTCCGAAGATCAGACCTTTATGACCTGAAAGGAACATTTCTGATTCATTTCATTTTGAGCCTGTAACTTTTTCTGACTGACACTGACAAATGCAAAATACCCATTTTTGACGTTCAAAGGGTCAAATCAACCCCTTCGACGGATCCGAAGAGGATGGGATCTATGTGGCCTTAAAGCTACTTATGACAGGCACATTTGTGATTCAGTTTTAGCCAGTAACTTTTTTCTGGCTAGGATAAAAATGCAAAAAAACGCATTTTTACTGTCAACGGGTGAAATCAACCTCTTCGACGGGTAGGAAGAAGATGGGATCTACATGGCCTTGTAGTCACTAATCAAAGGAACATTTCTGATCCATTTTTAGCCTGGAACTTTTTTTTGGCAAGGTGAAAAATGCAAAATACCGCATTTTTGACGTTCAAGGGGTAAAATCAAGCTCTTCGACGGGTCCGAAGAAGATGAGGTCTATGTGGTCCTATAGCTACAAATGGAAGGAACATTTCTGATTTGTTTTTAGACTGTAACTTTTCTCTGACTTGGCTAAAAATGCAAAAACACATTTTTAACGTTCAAGGGGTGAAGTCCACCTGTTCGACGGGACAGAAGAAGTGACCCAATAGCTACTAGTAAAACATTCATTTATTTTTAGCCTGTAACACTGTTTCTAACTAGGTGGGAGATATAAAAAGCTGCCATGTTCTGAGTGTGTAAACTATCCCTACATCAGGTAAAAAATTTTTAATTATTTAATTATTATAAATGGTGTTAGCATCGGTGAAAAGCCACATACCTCTTTCTAAATATTTTTGCACAAGTGCACCCTTTTTGAGGTGGCCTGTTGCTAAACTTGGCTATTAATACGATAAAATCAAAAGTCAGTAGTTGGTACAAAAAAATGGGTGTTTAAAATTGGCTGCTAACTTCACGCGAATGAGTGGAAGAATGGGCTGCAACTTCACACCGGTACCTCAGTAGATGTCAAAGCATGTAATAGGTTTTAGGGTGACCACACAACATAGTAACTTATTTGTGATATCTGATATGTCAAAAATTTTATTTGTAACACGTTGTGCAATTTAAGAATGTTTTAATGTAATTATTTAATTTTCAAAATGGTTGTCAAACTTGAAGAATAATAAATGAGTTCATAACATATTCTGGATTTTATTTAAATATTCTATGGACACCATATTTTACAGTATGATCAATCATGGATTACCAAATTGTTAAATGTTGTCGATTCAACAATATGGTCAACTTAGGTGGTTTCTTGGAATGGTGAATTCTACAATATGGCCATGACATAAATTTTGTGGTTTGAGGTACCAAAGTAGTTATGTGGGACCTCATTTTGCAATTTTCATTTGTTTTTTTGTGTTGCGCATCAATTTTGGACATATTTCAGGCAGTCAGTTTTTACTGAATTTTTATTAATGGAAGAAAAAATTGGAAGAAGGTTGACATATACGTCCTCACCAAAACATGATGGAAAATGCAATCAAAAGAGCATTACTCACTAAACATTAACAAAAGTCAATAAAACCCAACTTAAGTCCAAATGATCGCTACATATAGCCTTATAGATCCTGGTAGAGTATATTTCAACATCTGTTTTGCAAGACCATGTTATCTTGGGGCACTGCATTAGGCAATCTAGCATAAGGCCAGATACATAAAATAAAATGATGAAACTCAATTTTTTAACCAAAGTAATGAAACTATATACATCAACCCTTAAACCTGACCCAATTACTGGTTGTATTGATGAAGCTACAATGTTGAAATTAAAGTAAATACATCTTGACCAAACCAAACTAATGAAAATATATATAACAAACCATACAGCTTTTGGAGTCAAGCTTACAGTAACGCAAAAACTCACCCTATTACTGATTGTGTTGAAGCTGAAACGTTCATATCAAATTAAAAATATCTTGATAGAACAATGTGTTCACAGCTAAATTTCAACAGTCCATCGACGAATGTCTCGATGTTGATATTCGCAAACGACAAAACAAAACACACGTAAACCGAAAAAGTAAGTTGATCACACTCACTTTTCCATAGAACTGTGGAGTTCTCCAGTTCCTGTCATTAAAGGCTTTAACTGTTTTCCACATACACTCGTACTTGCATTCATCTTCACATGACCATTTTAAGTAATACAGAATGAGATCCTGTTTCCTATACATAAAGTCTGCACCATCTGAAAGATAAAAATATTAACACTATAATTATTTTGAAAAAATACTTCAATACCGTCTGTACAATTTAAGATTAAGCTTCTTTCTAAACATTTTTGGTAATAAGGTGATGAATCTCCTGCCGAACAATAACAAAATTCAATACATATACATAAGAGAAAGCAATTTACTAAAATGTACATTTTCATAAAAAAATTGAGCTTATGTTTACAAAAATTTCCTTTATGGTAGTGATGTGTAGTTCGCGAACGAACTAGTTCAAACGAAAGATTCTTCTGACTGAACTAAATGAACTAGTTCCTCATTCCCCGAGAAACTCTTTCACTCGTTCACCACGAACTAACAGAACCGCAGCCGTTGCGAATCAACGAACGAAAGAGATAAAGAGAACGAAACAGGTTCAAGAGAAGAGAGGCGCTCTTGTGAACGAACGAAAGACCGAGAGTGGGATAGGAAAATGTTGCCAAGCTTAAAGAACTTTCGTGGGATCTAAGAATGTTCCATCTGCGGAGCAGAATTCGGAACTTTTCAGATGCAAAAGAATGTTGTTGATATTATATTATGGTGAATTTGAGCAGAAGATATTTTTACGTTTTTGATAAAAAGATAAAAAGTTAACTACACGTGGTGTTTCCTAGCGGTCACCAATCCAAGTATTAACGGCACATTATTATACAAACTGAATCATACGTATTACGTATATACTTTTTGATAGCTACTTAGCTACTGCGGATTAATATTAAGCATATATTTATTGTCGTGGACTTTGATCTTATATGGTTAGAACTATTACTTCAGCAAATCAGCAGTGATCGAAACGTCGAGTAAAACACAGAAAATAGAATATTTATTTGAAAATAAATAATAAAGAATCAACATAAAATTGTACAAAAACATAAAGTTATAAAAACATAACAAATGCTGCTGACTGCAGGTTACAAAGGCCAGAAGAAATAAAAATTAGCTCCTATCAAGGATAATTAGGAAAAAACAAAACTAAAACGAAAATGTGATAAATCAACATAACTATAAATTTCCATTCAAAAACATTATTTTTTGAACTTTGTCAGCTCCTAACCTACTTCTTCTTTCCGTCAGGACTTGCCCAGCCTTCGAAAAAAGCCGCTCACATGGCACAGATGTTGCTATCAGACATAAACGTTTTTTCACCATTTCGAACAGTCTATTATATACCTTCGCTCTCTCCTGCCACCATTTTAGAGGATCTTCTGTTCTTGGTAAAAGCGGTTCTGCCAAATATTTATCGAGCTCTATAATCCCTCCTGCCAACGAACTTTGTGCACCAGAAAGACTTTTTACTTCTTGGTCAAAATCGTCCCAAAGGTCTGAGTCTGTTTTCACCCTTTTGGATTCATTTTCCTCCTGGTTTGAGTCTACAGTATATTCAGATAAGAGATAGACCGGATGTAAACAAAAAGTTCGGGTGATTTTCACGCTAACGCCGCCGTCTCGACGTAAAACAGGAGCCCTCATTGGTCAATTCGCAATTAAATGCCTATGCCGAGTCGTATCAAGGCAGAGTCACATTCAGGTTCAGACGTGTTACGTATGTCGTGTGCATCATTGCAATTTGATATTTCTTTGGACGTTTTCGTTTGTTATCTTATTAAGTTGTTGAGTTTGTCGTTGTTATTGTTATACCTTGTTATTGATTGTTATTGTTATCAACTGCTTGCGCAAAATGCCCAGTAGTACAGATACTGCCGATGAAGTTGTAAACTCCTGTAGTCCACCTAGGAAACGCTCTAAAAAAAGACACCTGAGTGCAGAAATGAAAGAGGTCATTTTGAATATATATAAGATCGAGCGCGAGGAGAACGAGGCATCAACCATCAAAGAAATTGTTGTGAAGGTTTCTCACAAAGTTGGGGTGTGTCGCGCATCAGTGTTTAATGTGTTAAGACAATACAAAAAAAATCACACCTTTTCTGAGCCAATGACCAGTAAACATCGCAAAAGTATTGTTAAATCATTGGATGAAGCTGATAAGCATGCGATTAGGAGGGAAGTGCATGAATTCTTCTTTAGGAATGAAATACCTACTATAGATAAAGTACTGCAGGAGGTAAATGGAGATACAACGTTGCCAAATTTCAAACGATCAACTTTCCATGCGTTACTGAAGCATTTAAATTTCAAACTGGACAATATTTTAGAGGAACAAGTCGAGCCATTCATTATTGACGTTGGTGCTTCAGGCAGTAGCGATGATGAAAGCTCATCTTTCCAATAAAAGATGTCGTTCATCAAATTCGGTAAGTTATAAGTAATTATAAAGCTACTGTATTTTTTAATTAATTATTGACATTTTTGAACCCATTTTGGCAAAACCTATTCAAGAATCTACTTTCTGACAATGTTCAACCATGCACATTTTTTTTACGTTTTGAACGTTTTAATTTGGTTACATATTTACCTAGAAATCAAAAAATATACTAATCAATATTCTAAAAGCAATTTTAAGAGATATACGATTATTTTTAATTTAGGCTAATTTAAACGCCATTTTGAGATTATATTCGACTGTATTTCACCAAACATCAGGCGGCATCCGAAGCTGGAAATCGAAGCGAAAATTTTGAAACCCTTATGTATATTTACATCATTATATATTTCTTACCCCACCCCCACATGATCCTATATCCATCACCAATCGTATACACATCGAATTGTGCTAATTTACTGCAAAGTTACGCAAAGCAGCATCTACTATCTAAAATATGTACTGCGTGACTCTTAATACGTCCCTGCCGAATGTTACAGCGTTCGATGATCACGTGGTCTTGTTTATGTCCGGTCTATCTCTTATCTGAATATACTGTAAAATACTCTGATTGGGTGGATTCATTGCTGAAAGTTTTGTTTTCAACTGTTCAATTGAAGCTTTGAATTTTTGTTCATCTGTGAATCCAAGCTTTTTATATCGTGGATCCAGAATTGTTGCTTGACAAGCAAGCTCGTTGTCTTCATAGCTCCTAGATCTTTTTAGTATTTGTTCACTTAATTTCTCCATCATACGCATGATTCCAATTGGAGCTGATTCTCCGCGTAAGAAAATGTAGAGGCTGTGCAGCTTTCTCCGCATTATTTTTAATATTGGAAGCGTTTTGGACAGTGTGACTGTCTTCTCTGCGGAGATTTCGTTAGTCACATCCTGGAACAATTTTAGAATTTGCGTGCCATATTGGATGATCTTCCAGTCATGGCTACTTAACGAGGAACTTAAGTCATTTTCTAGAATGGCTAACGTACTAATAACCGCCTCTTTGACTTCCATTATCCTCGAGAGCATATTATATGTGGAGTTCCAGCGAGTCTCCACATCTTGTTTCAATTTACGAGGTGGTAAACTCATCTGCTCTTGTATATGAGTCAGTCTCGATTGAGCCTGTGAGCTACGTTTGAAAAACTCAACAATAGATTTTACTTTTTTTATAGTTTCGCCAATCTCTTTAATTGCCTCCTGTACAACTAAATTCAATGTGTGCGCGAAGCACGGCAAATGACGCCATTGGCAACGTCGCACTGCTGCAATCATGTTTGGGGCGTTATCCGTTGTACAGGCGGCAATTTTATTTTCCATGTTAAATTCTTTTACTGTGTCCAATAAAAACTTACTCAAATTTTCCGCAGTGTGACGTTCCCCGTAACATTCGCAGTTCAATAACGCTGAAGAAAGTTTCAAATCGTCACTAAAAAAATGAACTGTTACACCAATAAAATTTTCATTGTTTATAGATGTCCATGAATCTACGGTTAAATTTGCTGCACTTACATACTGCATCCGGTTCTTTAATTTTTCAAGTTCGGAAAGATAAAGATTCGGTATGAGAGTCTGAGAAATTGTTTTTCTCGTGGGCAGAGTATCCTGGGTTCAACATGTTGACGAACTTTTTGAATTCCTTATCTTCCACAATTGAAATGGGTTGGTACTCTTTGACAATCATCCGCACTAACTGCAAATCTAAGTTTTTTGCTTTTGACGAGGGGACAGGCCGAACAAAATATTCTCGCAGTGTACTCGACGACACAGGATATTTCAAATGTACTGAAGTATTTACCCGCTCATCTTGCATGTTTGATGTTGCCGGTTGTGGTTCAAGAAGGTGAGGCACATTATCCAGATTTTGTCCGTCAGCAAGTGGTCCTTGTATCTCTCGTTCAGCAACAGTTTTAAGAGTAGGGTGCTTAGCTTTCATATGTCTTGACAAATTTCCTAACGAACCACTTGCAATGCTGATGTTTCGGCTACAATATTTGCACTTTGCTTTTAGGTTTTCAGATTTATCGAAATGGTTCCAAATTGCACTTCTATTTCTCCTCCCCATTTTCAAACAAATTTTCGGTCGTCAGGTAAAATGAAAAGTTCAAAATTTTCACGCTCGGTCTTCGATCCTACCAGCTTCCCACGTCCTTATCAACACGCTACAGCCTACGGTGCCGGCATGGTATCGGCGCACGCGTGAGCGATCGTGAACGAGAAAGAGTATTGCCAAGTGTACAGAACTTTAGCCATATCTAAGGATTTGTCAACTATGGAACAGAATTAAGGACGCTTCAGATGTAAAATAAAGTTGTCATTTTATTTAGATGCGTATTATTGAGCAGCAGATACTATAATTTTTCACATTTCAGATGTAACTAAAAAAAAAGAAAGCAAACTAAATATGGTATTCCTAGCGATCATTCATCCAAATATCAACCGTGCCGGATGCTGCTTAGCCCCTATAATAATAATAATAATAATAATAATAATAATAGTAATAATTTTTTTAACAAAGCTGAAATGTAGACAACAAATGCTATCTACTGCTCGAAATTGAATAAAGCATCTAGTAAAGCTGTTGAAATTTATCATATTATAAACGGGATCGGCAACCATGTCTACTGTCTACTATAGGCTGTATATGCGTTGCGTAATATATTTCGTTCGCGAACTAGATGACAACGTGGTCACCTTTAACCGTTAATGTATGGTGTACTATGTGTTGCATAAATCTAGTTCGTTCGTGAACTAGTTCCTAGAACTAGTTCGTTTCGGTGAATGAGATCTATTGAACTAGTTCACCGAAATGAACTAAAAAGTACATCACTACTTTATGGCATTTAAAGCTGAAAACACATACATCACAAAACATATGCACTGAAGAAAGTTTAGTCACGTGCCATGGTGCCATCCATTCGGCAACACGGTTGATTGTCAATCGTCATTTTTTCTGGATGCCAGATTGTGCACAACCACCGCATGCGACGTTGCCGGCTCTTCGCACAAATCTGAGACTGTTGTTGGTTTTTTGCTACGGTTATGGCCGATTGCACCAATATTTTCTTAAGGATAGAATTACAAAGGAGACATTAAAATTTGAAGATCGCCTAAAATTTTCTGGGTTGCACCAACACATTCTGGGGTTTCCTCATATTTCCTTAACTAAGCTTTCCTTAAACTTGACAGCTCCACAGGAAGCTAGTGATTTTGTCATGTTATGATGCAGTTGTCTGCCCTGCCTGAAAATAGTAGATGTTTTGTGCTGAAAATGACATTTCACATGATGTGATTTCACATATCCACATTGAGCTTATGTTGTAACGTAAGGTGGTGCTGCAATTTTTTTAAGAATTTTTTATTTTTGCAAAGTTTTATATTGTGGATCATGAGTGCTGCCGAAAAAAGGAAAAGGGGTGCCAATTTTACAACAAGTGAAACTAGAGTACTTCTATCAATAATTACGGAATTTAAAGGGATCATGGAAAATAACAAAACTGATGGTGTTTCTGTACAAGAAAAAAACCAGGCGTGGAGTAAAATTACTGCGAAATTTAATGCAGCTTGCCTTCAAGGGAGGCATCGAACAATGGACTCCTTGAAAAAGCTATTTGACAATAAAAAAAAGGGAGCTGCGGAAGCCGAAGGCAGAAATACTTAAAACTGGTGGTGGGCCTTCACAGAGAACTGGTAATACATCCCAAGATTTACTCTTTTCCATAGTGGATCCACTCACTGTTGTTGGTGGAACAACTTCATATGGGTCAGGCAGCAGCTTTCTGCTTTATGAGAAAAATCAAGACCCCTTGGAATATGAAGTAAAGGCCATTGAACATGTAGGTCCCAATGAACATCAAAAGGAAAACGAAATGAATATGTTTGATGATCAGGTAAATGCAACCATTAAGTTATTAATCGATCATATTTATATATTTATCATGTTGAGTCACATTTTACAGTTAGCAAATTTCTGATCATGTTCAGATATAGCTTAAAAATATTATAATAGGATCAATGATCCCAAATTCTGATCAAATGACTGCTCAGTTTTTTGAGTTGGTTAGGGCATAGTAACAGGTCTTTTGAAAGGGATCTAAAGTCTTGAAATGTGCTGTTCTTTCTTAATGTTTTTCATTCTGTATATTCTTTATTTTTAAAATATGAGGAAAGACTTACTTTATTTAATTTTGAATGTTGAAGTTGGTAGAAATATTGTGTGATATTCATAACAGATCACTGTAGAGATATTCATTTTTGCTTACAACTGTTTTCCATAATAAATTACTAGTTCTTATATTTTTAAGGTCATCACAATTGATGGAAGATGGGAATCAAGAAAACAATTCCAGGAGTATGGAGCAACTAGCAGATATATCAAGGGGATGGAAGAAAGGGCCAGATTTGAAAAAACCTGTTTCAGCACAATTGAGGCGATCTATCAGTAAAGTGAGTAAGTGTATGATAAAGTATTCTTTGTTTACTACATATATCTTGTACAATAACATACATTCACAGTTTTGAATAGTTCCACTATATGTTTCAACCTTTTTTGCCAGCATAAAGTGATAAGGCTGAAAGCCAAGCAAGCAAACGTGCTAATACCTGCAAGCCATCACATCGTAGAAGACCTACTGAGACAGTCATAAGGTCACTGTCATCAAACAAGCTCGCTGAAAAATACAACTTGTTGGTTGATAAAAAGAATTTTATTGCAGACCATGCTCAGAAGAAGCTCGAACAAGAATTGAACATGAATTAAGGGTACAAGCATAAAAATATGACATAGAAATTAAAAAGAGGCAATTAGACTCACTAAGGCCCGAGGCAGAATGGACACATGATTTCCAAGACTATTTTATTAATGATTTGTTGTTTTTTTTGTATTCTATACCTGTTTTTTCTTTTTGTAAAATGAGATTTAACTCTTAAGTACCAAAGTGTTATTTTGGTTACATAAGTACAGATGTGACTGCTAGACCACAACAATTTTACTAATCAAGAACAGTTGTTTCTTCATATTCTACAAATGTTGCAATGTCTTAATATATTGTTATTTTGAAAATAAAACAAAATTTACATTTACTACTAATTATAAATATTAATATTGGTCATAATTTTTGGAAATATAAAACTGTCTATCAGACCATACATTGGTAATTAAGAGGCTAATCACTAATGTACTTATTTCCTTGTAAGTTTTTAAGTTGTAGCATTTGGCTAGTCAAATCACTACTATACTGTGATATTTTCAAAATATATTATTGTTTTGTTTTTTGATTAAAGTTTTTATACTTTAGTTTTGTTTGAAGACTGTAGTTTGTGATAGTTTTGTTTGAAGGCGATAGTTGTGATGTAAAAACAATAAAAGGGAAAATATAACAAAAATATTTTATTCCTCGCATTATAACTCGAGAAAAAGAAACATTCAAAGATTTCCAAAATAATTAATCATTTATTCTTGAGCAGTATTGACATTGTGATTCTGTATTGTAGGCATTTCAATATCCTGTGTTACTATTAAATAATTGAATTTTGGCATAACTTGGGAATAAGCTGGCTATAGTTCTTAATACCCTTCCAACAATTCTGCAGGCTGTGCTTGCATGCATTCCCATAAAATAAGCAGTTTGCCTAATACGACCTGCACTGGCATAGTACCTTAAGCAGCATAGAAGCTGATTCATTGGTGAAATGCTGTGATTCCTAAAATGAATACATTCATATAGATATTTGTCTTAGAAGTGGGTCAACTTATATACCTGTCATGATGATACTCTAATTGAGATCATCTATTTGCGATAATACATGCAACAGTGTTTCCTTGTATAACGGGAGCCTTCTGAAAAAACCCAGTAGATCCATTTCTTCAGAGTAATTTGGCCGACTATAAGTGCGCCTGGGTAGTCTCATCACAATAATATCTACCAGCTCTAAATCATCATCCAGAATATCTGGTAAGTCGCCCAAATAATCCAAATATGAGTACTCCATTGTAACTCACACGAACACAATACAACCTTAATAGAGTGATATCTACACTTTACAGCTCAAGGTCCTGTTTGAGGTATCACATCAAATATAAAATGGAGTCGATCAAGACGAAAAAAAAACAAGTCAATAACACCAAAAAGGCCTTCCTAAGCACTTCTACACCACACAGAGGAAAATATACAATAGAATTGTTTTGGTATTTGACAAAACTATTTGGTTGTTTTCCGACGCACGATTGCCACGTTGCAGGTCCAACGACAATCATTTCGCCGGTTGGTAGGAGAAATGTCGACAAAATCACCAAGTATATCTCCTATCAGAGTACTTGGCATCAGTGTAGTCAAAAATAGTCCCAGTTTGGTTTAGTTGCCAGAAAATAACTAGTTGTATAGCCAAAAAACAGTTGCAAAGTATAAAGAAAATCACCAATATGGTGACAAATCTTCAAGCCTGGCAACCATGTACCACACTGTGCGCTAAGTACAGTTTAAGTGATCGTTAGCTGCCACTTAACTAAGGACAGTTTAATCGGAGAATAATCCTCACTTTTCGTTGGTGCAACCGAAAATGTACCTTTAAGGATTGCTTAAAGTTAAGAAACGAATAAGTTATTCGTAAAGTCGTTGGTGCAATCGGCCATGTCTTGTAGAGTCTAGTAGAATACATTTCAACAGATGTCTTGCGTGGTCATGTTATCTTTACTCAGACATAATATCTTAGCTATTTGAAAATTTGAGAACAGTAAAAAATCTATACTTGAGAACATATTTTTATCTAAATTTTATATTGTATGAACATATCAATAATATTTATCGTCCAAATATTATTTGGTGATTCCTGGTGATGGTCTTCTGCAGCACCTGCATGGAAAAATTATTAGAATTAGTAATGACAACAAATTTACTAGAATAACTAGATTTTTCATAAGAATTTTAATAAAGGAATATCTAATCTAAATTTCATAACATTGGATAACCAGAATGTAAAAGTTTTATGGAAAATATGATTATAGTTCTTCCAAAACTCCAGGCAAGCATGCGGCGCAACCATCTGACAAAACGCCAACGGTGTTGCTAATTGTTTAACGTGCTAACGTGCAGCTTCAACTTCTTCAGTTTTGTGACTGAACACAAAACCGGCGCCACCTTCAACTAAGTTAGTTAGTTGAAGGTGGCGCTGACAAAACATACACACTGAAGGTTTAATTCCATGCTATTTATTCAATGGCAACACGGTGACTTGTGTGGTCGTCAGCGGCCATTTTTTGAGGGTGCGACACGGTTGTCAGATTGTACATTAATACCCCGCAACGTTGCCAGCTTTACAAATAAATCTGAGATTGCTATACTTTTATATAAAGAAATTTAGTGGGATATGGGAGATCTTATAACAGCATGTGTTGTTAACATTTTGCGCTATCTTGACGAATAACGTCGGTTTCGTGCATGACTTAACGTAATCTAATTTAAGGATCAGCTGTTTCTACACCAGTGTCCTCCCACATGTTACGCCGCCAGATGGTAACTAGCTAGTGATTTCAAGTGGTGGTCAAACGTTTTGGTGACATCACACCCATTTTTTGACATGATTCGGGTGGTTTCGGAACTCGTCTTACTCTTGGATAGCCCTTTCCATACTCTATGCTCGTATTGAGGTAATTATAATTCAGTGGCGTCTCGTGTTCCACGACGATTTGCGGACCAAGCCATGCGGTGAATCATCTGTTGTTTTTGTTTGAGTTGTTGGCGAATTTGCGGTAGAGATTTGCTTTGGTGTTCGTTTTCGGGTGTGTGTTTTCTGCGTTGGACTTCTTTTTTGTGCGATTAATTGAGGATGGTGGCCATGCCTAGTTCAAAAAAAAACGAGAAGCCGAGCTGGTATTAACTCCTGACCTTGGTGAAGAGGTACCTGCAGAAGGCACCTGAACGCAATCGGACATCGCCAGAGGAGCGCCTAATGATAACGTTGCAGTAAGTACCAAAATCAGTTCATTTTTGCATAAATGACTAAATATATTGAGGTTATGGTCATTTTTTAATTTCAAGGTCACTTCTTAAAATAAAGTATATTCAACTTTATCTTAAGAACCAACCAATCGGATCAGTAGCGTTGGTCAGCTGATATCTACAGCAGGAATTAGAAGATGGGTACGAGCCATCGATACTGTACAAACGTCGATAGTCGATTATATCGTGATGTTTGATCGATTTTATATCGCTGTATGGGCAGATGTATAGCCTCCTTTACTCTGAAAGCCATGAAACTAGATCTGGCAACATTGCATGGCATTCGCTTAGTGGGCCTATTGTGAATTGTCGAGGATATGAGGATACCTTTTTTTGTATGGGTCTAAGGGTGGAAAATAATCAATGAAACAAAATTGTGATAGAAGAACGGTTTAATAGAAACATTATCAATTAGTATATGTTTTTCACCTAGAACTAATCGCTTATTGCATACAAATATTAATTATTTATAAGCTAGGATGTCAAAGTTAATAGTTCTCTTATCTTGTCACTTTTTTCTTTGTGACACAAGTTGTTTTTATTTTTTGTAAAGTTATTTAATAAAATGTTACATATAATGAATGTTGCAGCAGTATATATTTTCTTATAGGGCATACCACATTCACAAATAATCTTAAGGTCAATGAATACATCTGATTCTAAACTTTCCACAATTAGTGTACCTAAAATAGTTTTATGATCTAAGCGGGCAAATAACATTTTCAAAGTATTTTCATGATCAATTATATAAGTAAAAATGGCACAGGCATGATGATAGATATATCCTATCTCATCAGCTGGAATACAAAGACCTCCTCTTTGTAAATAATCAAAATAATCTAATTCCAACATGACACCTTTGCTCCTAATTGGTTTTTCCTGGCATTTTGTACAACTAATTTTTTTATGAGAGAGTGGCCCACATATCCACATATGTATATTTTTACTGCTTCATCAACATCATAGCTAATTAAATAATCAGTTTCCAAAATAAAAAGAAAGTCTGATATATCCAGTGAAAATGTATCTTGCTCAGATGTTAAGGAAGAATTGCGAAGCTCATTTAAATCAAATTCTGTGTTGCACGTCTTCAAAACATTCTGAAGTCTGATTTTCTTTTCAGATTCTAGAATTTGATTGAAAGAAATATGATAATTACATCCAGATAGATATCGATATCTACCAAACCTCTTTTCCAAATTATCTGTTTGAAATTTCCCACAAAGTACATACTCAACTGGAAAGTGTTCAAAAGAATAGTCTACAAGTTTAATCATAACACTTGTACTATGTTTCAATGCATTGTATGTATCTGTACTGAGTCCAACGTTTTGAATATTTTGATGACACGCATCCAACCAATTTAAAAATTTCTTCAAAAATTTAAAATTTTCATCGTGAAATGGAATGATGGGACACGAGTGATCATCTCTTTTATGCGTACCCTTTAAAGTATTTTTTACATTTATGATACTCCACCAATCATGCACTATTTGTAGAAAATTTGCTGTGCTGCTGTAACTACTGCAAGTTTTAAGGGCAGCGATTGTGGATTCATGGAAAACATTATTTGCCAAAACTACACTTTGTCTTTCTAAATTATTGGGATACAATGTTTTATCATTTAATTTGTAAGCCAACCTAGTTAATTTTTCTATTTCATTCTTATAAAAGCTTCTAATATTTTCAAATGAAGCTTTTTCTTGAACATCAAAATTATTATAATTTGGATACAGAAATGTATGCTCAACATTTTTCAAATTCAACCAGTTATGATATATATTTTTAAATATGTGGACAAAATCAAATAGTGTAAAAATTTTTTCTGCAGGATCTGATGGAATTGAAAAATATACATCACCATTACAGAGACACCTAAAAACACACAACACTTTAAACCCCTCCATTTGTATGTATCTGATTACATCTAACACTATTTGGGACAATTCATCAGCTGGCATATTATTCACTGGTACAAGGCGTACAACTTCTTTAAAATTGGCAAATGCAGACGATATCACGAATGTCTGAACTGTTCTGGCTAGCTTAGTTGGATCATTCTCAGCAAATCCAGTCACATTCTTTGCTTTATACTGTAAACCAGTTTTTACATAAATTTCATCAATTAAAAGGCATACAATTTTCTCTCTATCAGAGAGGTTTGAAGCTGCATGTTGAAGGTAACTATTTTTTCTCTCTTTGTCTAAAATTGGTGAAACATTAAACTCTGAAGAAATTTACTTTAAACGTCTATTCGTAGGGAGAATTAAATAATCTCTAATATGTTCATATGTTGAAGATGACTGATTGAAAATAATCAATGAAAAAATTAAAGTCGGCATATTATATACCTTTTTCGATGTAATGAGAGAAAGCTGGTCCCTTAAAAGTTCTAAAGTTGTGAGATGTTTACCGTTTTGTTGATTTAAGATTGCAATTGCTGATATCAGATGTTCGTGTGCCTTTTTCAAATGAAAAGTACCATCCAAGTCAGTATGCTGAGCAAAACTATACCTTGTCAATAAATTTTCAATCTGAGACCACCTTTGAAGCTTCCGCTCTGGTAAAATCCATCAACTCAGGAGGGCTTCCAGAGAGGAGAAAGCTGATCCTTTATCGACGTGGCTGGTGCCACTTCGACGATATGTTCTAAAGTAACCCACTGGAAGGTCCTGCCAGGAGAGACACTCAGCTATCATAACCATATCTACTTCGAGCTGGATATTCAAGAGACAACAGTCCGGAAGCCAGGCGGAAGATGATCTCTTTTTGATGCCAAAGCTTTTAAGGAAAACATGAATACCTTCAACCATGCAAATGTCGAGACTCTGGTGGAGCTAATCGCTGTCTTAGAAGAGGCTACTAGAAAAAGCACCATCCATACCCGAGAGGAAAAACGAAAAATTCCATACTGGTGGATAGTACAAATAGAGCGGTAACGAGAAGTCTGTCTTAAATATAAGAGTAAGGTGACAAGGGAATGAGCCAAACAAATAATGAGTGAAGACGACTGGACACACTTACAGGACTTATACAAAACAGCTTGGAAGAATGAAGATAATTGAACACCTTTTTCCACAGAGACGATAACTGGCAGACGGGAGTAAAGATAACCGAAGCCCTTCACGATGGGGGAACTACAAGAATCAGGAGCTCAAATTAAAGTGGAAAAGGCCCCAGGTCCGGATACATACTTCCGGAAGCAATGAGAATAGCGGTCGAGGTTATACCTAAAACCATACTGAAGTCATTAGGAGATAATTTCGTGTTATGGAGGAATACTTGCACAGTCATGTCAGAATGAATGACTATACTATTGATAACCTTAACACCTTCCTCTAACACATCACAGTCAGCATTTAACAAATAAAAATAAAACACTTCACCACAATTTTTCAAGCACCAGTTTTTCAGCACTGTTTTTGTCTGCACAAGTAATTTGAATTCATCAAAGTCTACAATCAAGTCATCATTTAAAAATGCCTCAATTTGATCAGTTTCTCTTTGGATGCATTCTTTTTGTCGTTCCTCTGGATCTCGACGTGCTTTCGGCTCTGGAGTACTCATATATTTTGGTAAATTTGCAAATATATGGGGTACAGCTCCTCTTTTCAATGTTGGCCGTGCTAGAGGGCGTTCTTGAAAAACACTATCTTTGTCCTTAAAAACCGCAAAGCGCCTTATTTCACCTTCTGTAAAATGCTTGCAGCATACCACTGAATGTTTTGTTGTGGAATAGTTGTCACGGTGAATGGCCTTCAGCCATAACTTTTGAAGGGATTCTTCATTTGGAAGACAAAAAGTTGTTTGTAATTCTTCATTTTTCAGGGTACTTTTATAATTAGATTTGCAGCCTGGCACGCAACATAACCTAGGCATCTGAAAATGAAAAAGATACTATATAAATTTTGTTCTTGGTTCGAATAACACGTTATAGGTTCTTGAAATTATTATATCTGATGAAATGCAGTACTGTATTAATTTATACTTACATTCAAACAATTATGAGGAGCTGATTGACAACAGATCTTTACAAATCTACAGCGTACAAATCAATTCACGTGCGGTCCAAATCACAATCACAAACGGAGCAAAACCACAGCAAAACACAAACACGAGCAAAATGGACGAGATTGGCGATAGATGATAGACCCACACGCGGCGTTGCCAGATGTATGCTTCATGGCTTTCGGTAAAGGAGGCTGTGGCAGATGGTTCGGTGATAGTTGTATGAAAAATTATTTGCGCTTGCTTACGCATGACAGTTTAGAGCTGAACATCGGGGCGGCTTGATAAAAAAAATAAGAGATGTATGTTAAAAATTATAATAAATAAAGTCAGTGGTCATGTTTACTTCATCCCGTAACAAAGTGCGTATAGTGGTAGTTTTAGCAAAACATATCGGTATTGCTACAGCATAAAGTAGATAAAAAAACAGCATGAATAAATTAAACAAGGGTCCTAAATTGCCCCTTACCAAGATAGAGGATTTTGGAATTATATTCTAGAAAACGAAAAAAAAATGCATGTGATCTTAAAATTTAGTGCTTGTAGTACTGGCATCATAGCTGATAGACTTTCATGTCTGAGACTGTAGCAGTGGTGATGTTGGAAAATTATAGCCCCTACAGTAGAAAAAAGAATTTAAATCTATACCATGCCTCACAGACCACTATGAATGTACTTTGTCATTAACTACGAACCAGGTGTACACCTGGCCAATGCTGTTTATTTGCAGCCCACCAAATATGTAATCTCTTTTGGTGTTTATTGAGGTAAACAGATCAAATTAAGGACTGGTGTTTGGTATCACCAATGAAAATTTGTTTACACATACATGCTTTCTCTGAATGAGAATTTTGGCAATCAAATGTTTAGGGTAACAACGCACTAGCCGCGAACCACGGCGGATGGCGGTCACGCGGATGTTAGTTTGTGTAGGAATAATTGGCAGACAACTGGCAACCCCGTAACCGCGCGGATGAGCGGACGCCGGCATTGGACGCGGAGACCGCGCGGACTTTCATGACGACTAACCTAGCAACCAGCCATCCGCGACGGTTTCCGTAAAGCAATCCGCACTTCCCCGCGATACCGCCACCCGCCGCGGTGCGCGGCTCGTGCGTTATTACCCTTACTGCTAGATTGGGAATTTATACGTAATGTATAGAGGAGTATCATCTGAAGGGGCGTGGTGAGATGACTATGTTTCTGTTTACTGTTCGCTGACCAAATATGACAGTGATATTATGCTAATATATTTTTTTTATTTCACAGTGTCAACATCACAATTACATCAGGAGTTTGTTTCCTAGGTTGAAGAAACACTTAGTGTTTTACGTGTTTTTGTTTGCCTTCACCCATTAACAGTGTGTGCAAAATTGTTTTCGATTCACATATCAGAGAGGTTATATTTGTATTCCAGTCAGACCTCTAACTACAGATGTGTTTTTTGTTAGTTTAGTATTTATGTTTCCGCAATAAATATACATGATCAATTAACAAGAGATAGTACTTGCATGATATTGCACTGATCAGGTTCATAATATAGAGAAAAATCCAGATGGGTAGAATACAAAGATGAGCCATCCAACTTGCACATATCTCCTGCATCCCTGGCCTACAAAAATACCGAATTGCAACGTTGTATTAGCATCGAAGACGGTCTAAAAAGCATGATTGATACTTTAAGGTAATGTCCGAGCAATAAATTATAGATAAAAGGTACCGCATTCTATAGAGGCGCGTGGCTTGGTTGTCTCCAGTGGCGGTGGGCTATTGCTGTTGATCAGGTGTAGGCTCAATTAAAGTCCCAATATGGTGTGATTTTCAAAGCAGATTACATCTTTATTTGGAATATATCTCCAGGCTTGTGAAAAGCAAAATATTTCTTTCAAATTTCAATATTCAGGGAGAAGCAGGTTGTTTGATTAATTCTGATATGGTAGGTTGGATGTTTGGTATTGAATAGACAATAAACCGTAACTGCTAGGCTACCAAACATAGTTACGTTTGGAAACTGAACATTCTCATCTAAAATATAAATATGAAAAACGTTTAGTTTACGAAATTAGCGCTAGCTATTTATCCTTCTTGCAACTAATTTCATTAGCTCTGAAAAGTATTTCACCAGTATTTAGTTTAACCACTTTCTGTGTCTATACTAAACTGCATTCTGGTCTACATGCTTCTTACTTTGTAGACATACTGGTAGGTTCAGCCACTTTAGACAGAAACCAAATATATAGAATTTTTGCTTTTCCAGAAATCCTCCCAATGCTAATACAAACAATTATGATCAGTTACGATTTGTTAATTTTATTCATCTGTGACTTCCTAGTTTAGTCCGATGACGGAAATTTGGAATGTGTCCATAAAAATGATTTGTAGGAGCCACTGTTGTGGTTTATTTCGCGATAGTAATTGTTTCCTGTAGATTGAGATATTGCTCAACTAGTGGTGTTATCCAGGAAAAGATCTGGGAGGAGGCTCATCAAGATCCAGGGTGACACGAAAATTCCGTCTCGGGGCGGGGAGGGGTGTCTTGGAGTTATAAAACTGCATAGCAGAGGGGGGGACGCGCTTAGTCCAGGTAGCTACACTTCACAGAAGGTATAACATGCTGTAATATGTAGAAGAAGCGTAATGAGCTGTTACGCTTCGGGAGGGTAGACTCCGAGGAGTCCCAAAGCCCTCCCATGAATACGCCGGTGTGCCCATACCAGAATAGGAACAGAGGCGTGGGGTCTGTGGGCCTAGCTCAAAGAGTTCCGCCCTTCTTTCTAATATCATTGGGTTTGCATCCATACAGCGACGGCGACGAAGTAAATAAGAAATGAATAAGTCCTTCTTGATTCAATTTACAACTTAATGCATTAATCAAAGAAATTATCCTGTTTTTAGTCATAACATGTTACCAGACATTTGAGAAAAAAAATAATATTTTAAATTTCAACAGGCATTAAGAGTAATCCATGTAATTTTTTCTTATGAATGTGGAAGTGGAACAACCAGCGGGTATGCTTATGCAGTCGGCGGCGCGGCACCTCAAAGACAAAAGCTGTATTTTGTGTTTTTGGCTCGCAAAGAGATTGACAGTAGCTAGAAAAAAAGTCGTATTTTTCTATTTGACTCTTACGTTTAGTGGATTTAGCATTTAGAAGGCTGGCTATTATTACTCCAATCGCATTCTAAGAAAAAAATTCGGCCTCATTTTTTGTTCATTTTCCTGTTGTGCTTTTTGTGACTGCAAACAAACTGTAGCTAAACTGTTTTCACAAAGCTTTTTGAAAAAGTTAGTCAGACTTCGCTTTGAAATGATATTCCCAACTTGGGGGAATAGGACGGAGGTTTTTTTCAGTGTACTCGTATAGTACAGAAACATTTTCACTGTATTTTCACTGGAAATCTATTTTGAATAACAATATGTCATTTTTTCAGACTGCTACATGGCCCGTATTAGATTTTTATAAGAATGTGTTTGTTTATTTGTTACTTTTGTTTATGGATTTATACAGAAACTGTTTTTTTTTTTGAGAATTCTAGATTGATTTATTACTTGTTTGTATTTTAAAGGATATTACTTTTGTTTTAATTGCATGGAATTGACTGTTTGTTTTTATTATTTTATACTATACACTATGCACCGGCGGGCCTTCGGCGATCTAGTTCTTTTCTGCCGCTACACCAACGGGCTTTGCTCCTCGGAGCTCTCTTCCATGATGCCGCCGCGCGATGTGCCTACCAGATAGTCCCGCCTAACTTTGACGTCCCATCCTAACCGTGTCGAGCTTCGTTCATCCAAAACTGGGCGATACGACCGGCCCTTTGTCCCGAGAGTTTTGAGACTGTGGAACAGTCTACAAGAGGAAGCTTTTCCCAGTTCTTCTAACCTTAGTCAGGTCAAAAATCGTATTAAAATTTCTTTGGGATCATCATAGCAGCCGCGGTGTTTCGGCATTTAGGCTTATGTCTGCGCGACTGCTTCGATATATAATATAGGTATATATATACTCCATGATCATTTGAATTTTTGGCTTGTCTATTGAATACCAAATATATGACCTACCATAGAAAAATTCATCTCTCAATCTCTGTTTCCGAATCTGACTGACCAGTTATTAAACAGACCGTCGGCAATGAGTAATCAGGGGAGCAGAAACACGTCGTCCTGCGACCTGTCTTTAGGTAGAGCGTCCCTCTTTTATCGAGTATAATTTATTGCCGGTTTATTTCTTTCATCTCCTTTACCGCCCTCTGATGGATCACTCTAAGCAAACGCTAAACATACACGGTAATGTTTAGCGAAAGGACATGCGATAAACAGGTTACAATAACAATAAGAGTTTTGAGCGTAGCAACTAGAATTCTAAGAGAAATTTTACATGGAGCACCCTTCAAAACACTTTAAGGAGTATGTATATTTCGTATTTTTAAGTGTTGTGTTCTGAAGATCTAAAAATAGGAAAATTGATATATTATTATCTGCCGTTGGTAATAAAGGAATCATCAACTTGAGCATTTTATAGACCAATTGCGTATGAGTGAAAGACGAAAGGTAAGAAATCAAATGCCCTGGATAGAATGTAGCTTCTCAAACGCAGGGAGATTATAGGTACAAATTCGCGTCGTGTATCAGTGAAATGTATCTACTGTCGTGTCACCATCTGACAACAGTGTAGTTTTCGATGTGCGTGTTTTGGATCTGTTTGGCAGCATTTTTAAAAAATTAATTTCGTCTCAAGCAACCAGACTACATATCTAAGGTCAGTTGTTACCAATAGTGTGCTATTCATTGGTTATCGTCAGCCTTTTTGGCATCTGAAACATCTTCATAACATGTAAACACCGGAAGAATCCGTGCGTTCAACGTGAAAACGGAACCGGCGTTGCCGTATTTACCTAGAATTCTGCACTCTCCTGGTAGTCAAATCAAATCACATAATGCCTCAAACTACGCAAATGAGTTGTACTTGCTGCAAAAAACTTGAGGATGACAACAAGTTTGTGAGCTGTTCTGTGTGCAAGAACCATTATTTTTACAGCTGCGTTGAGTTGTCCCAAAATGATGCCAAAATTTTGAAAAGCAAATCAAACGTTCATTTCACCTGTAAAAACTGTAGCATGATTGGTGCTACATTATCTGATCTTCGAGCATTGGTCATTTCTTTGCAAGAGGAAATAAAGCTCTCAAGTCTACTCGCACTGACACAGCCCAGATATCACCTTCGGTCGACTATGAAGATATAATTCAAGAAATAAACGACAGACAGTCTAGGAAGAAAAACTTAATTATCTTTGGGGTTCAAGAGAGTGCAGATCAGTCCAACGCGCAAAAGAGGGCTCATGACACGGAACAAGTCAAAAAGATTCTACAGGTCTTGGATCCTGATGTTAATGCCGATAGTATTAAGCCGATTAGACTAGGATCTATCAAAGCTGGTATAATGAGGCCCATGAAAATAACACTTGTGGATGAAGATGATGTTCGTGCTTGTATTAAGTCAGCTAGCAACTTAAAGAGGAGCAATGTTTTCTCCAGGACTAGTATCTCATTTGATCGTACACCTCGACAGATCTTGCATTATAAAAAACTGAAACAGGAGATGGAAGAACGCTCTGCAAGAGGCGAAGACGGCTTAAAGATCAAGTACGTTCGTGGTGTCCCTAGAATCGTTTCGTAAAACTAGGGAAGCCCAACAAAAATATCCCTATGCGCTGTTATTTCCAAAACGTGCGCGGACTGAATACCAAATTCGATGAATTTTATTCCGCAATTTTGTCTTCTGATTATGATTTTGTAGGACTTGCCGAAACTTGGTTGTGTAGTGGTGTGAGAAATTCGGAACTATTTCCTCCGGAGTATATTGTCTACCGAAAGTGACCGCGATTTCTTAAAAACAAACACTTCATGCGGAGGAGGGGTTTTGCTAGCATGTAAAGATATGTTTAATGTTGAGACAATTAATCTTGAGCACATTCGCAATGAAATGTACTTGATCGATATTCTAGGGGTCAAGTGTACTATAGGATTTAATTCGGTATTTATATATGTCCTGTATGTACCACCACAAGTAACATTTGTAGACTTTGAAACATTCTTGGAATTATTTTCACAAACTACAATAAGTCAATTAAATGTCCTAATTATAGGAGATTTCAATGTAACAAATTTTGTTGATAATACAATTGTTGATAGACATTCGACTGTACTTAACAGATTTTTGGAATTATCAGGTCTTTCTCAAACCAATACTGTTTTGAATGCTAGACAAAGAATGTTGGATTTGGTGATAACTGACATGACCTGCGAAACCTATCATGCTAATTTGCCGTTGGTCAAGGAAGATTTGTATCATCCTTCTCTATCTGTAGTTTGTGAAACTAAATTTAATGCCACTATTAATTTTGACATGAATGTAGCAACTCCAACGTACAATTTCAGGAAAGCTAATTTCATTGGCGTTTACAATGCCTTGACTTACATTGATTGGTCCTTTTTGGACAACGTGGAGGATGTCAATCGCATGTGTGACTTGTTCTATGAAAAATTATACTTCGTTTTTGATCTGTACGTTCCGAAATATATTAAGCATAAGCATCGTTATCCAGGTTGGTATGGCTCGGATATTATTCGAAATTTAAAACTGAAATGTAGACTGCATCAACAATATAAATGTTCCAAAAGTCAGGAAATCTATAGACAGTTTTCTAGGTTCCGTGCACTTGTTAAACAACAGATAAAAGACTGTTACAATCTATATCTGCAAAAAGTTGAAAATGATTTGGTTACAAATCCGAATCATTTTTGGTCTTTCGTCCAATCTAAGAAAGGTTCATCTAGAATACCAGGTAGGATGACCCTTGCTAATGAAGTCTCAGATAATCCTAATCGGACTATTAATTTATTCGCAGAGTATTTCCAAAGTGTTTATGTTATACTTCGAAGTAGACTTCAGTAGATAGTAATGTATACCAACATCCCGTTGTTAATAGTCACATGAATGTTTTCATCTGGGTAACTTCACAGATGAGGATATTCTAAAGGCACTGTGTAAATTACCAAACAAGTTAACAGCAGAAGAAGATATGGTACCGAGCTTTGTAGTCCGTGATGCGGCGAACATATTTGTCACGCCTTTAAAGAAAATTTTTAATTATTCCCTCAGTACAGCAACTTTTCCTACAAAATGGAAACTGGCTAGAGTGTGCCCTATTTTTAAAGCTGGGGACCCTAGTCAAATCGAAAATTACCGAGCTATATCTATATTGGATAATTTTGGTAAGGCATTTGAGATATCTGTATACAACTACATCTATCCTTTGACCTCGCATCTGATATCTGAGTCGCAACATGGATTTATACGCAATCGCTCTACTATTTCTAACTTAACTGAAATCACCCAGGAAATTGCAGAGGTCTTAGATAACAGCGGTCAGATGGATGTGGTCTATACGGATTTCTCAAAGGCCTTCGATAAGATAAGTCACCAAAGAATCATAGGTAAACTTCAGCATTTTGGCTTTAGCAATCATTTATTAGATTTCATTTCTTCTTACTTGCATGATAGAAGTCACCTTACTCGGCCTCAACCGGTGTACCGCAGGGATCAAATATAGGTCCTCTTTAGTGGTCGAGAACTATCGATAGCCTATCGATATTTATCGATAGTTTATACCATCGAATATAATCGATATTTCATTTCATACTATCGATAGTTTTCGATAGTTACTGTCAACGTCAACTGTCAAGACTTTAACGTCAACTTCAAGAAAACGCCCAACAGTCAACGGATTTTCTGCAATTTGATATTCATAATAAATTCATATTCAATTCACATTTGATAAAACAATCAACAATAATAGACATAAAGATATCGAATTAAAAAACGTATGTGATTGTATTTTCCGTTTCCGTCCCGATTTCAAGACGATTATTCAGTGAGAAATTCTGTGTCCGGAAATGGATAAATTTCTTCAAAGAGGAGATTGCAAAAAAGCACCAAATCAAAAAAAAAGTAAGTTTCAGGTTAAATATTCAACATTTACACAAAAAAAAACATTTTTTTAAGGTTCTCTCAAAAACATTAGGAACCATTAGCTAGCAGTGACCAGTTCAAGAATAAAAATATTAAGAGTTTGGGATAGTTTTTTTACGTCCATTATCTACAAAACAGAATTTATTTCAAGAATAACTTAAAAACCGCTTAGTTACCAATTATTATGACTATCGATTACTATCGATAATAATCGATGGTCACAGGACCGACAATCGATAATTATCGATGGTGGAGACTATCGATAGTTCTCGACCACTAGTCCTCTTCTCTTTCTTTATTTTATCAATGGCCTCCCTAACTGTCCTTCTCTGTTGTTGGCCGATGATTTAAAAATATATGCTCAGATTAACAGCATTGATGACTGTCTAATCTTGCAAGCTGACCTGAATCATATATTTGAATGGTGTTCAACTAATAAATTATTTTTGAATGTTAGCAAATGCAAAACCTGTTCTTTTACCAGGAAAACGAATCCAATAGTTTTTGATTACACACTAGAAGGTGTCAGTTTGATGCGTTGTTCAGAAGTAAGAGATCTAGGTGTGTTACTTGATGTTAAATTAGAATGTACAGGTCATATTAGTACAATAGTATCATCCGCTATAAAAAGTCTCGGTTTTTTATAAGAAACTGTAAATCGTTTGGTTGTGAAACGACACTGAATGCTTTATACTGCACCTTGGTGCGTTCTAAGCTGGAATATGCATCTAGTGTATGGCACCCATATTACCAAATCTATATTAATGAAATTGAAAGTGTACAGAGGAGATTTCTTAAATACTTGACTTTCAAATTAGATGGTGTTTATCCCAATCGTGGGACTCCCCAATCAGCAATGTTGCTCAGATTTGAAATGCATCCTCTTGAGCTGAGAAGAGTTTGTAATAGTTTAACATTCTTTTACAAACTCGTACACAGTGATGTTGATTCTTCAGCTTTATTAGCTAAAATTGATTTTCATGTACCGTCCCGCATTTCCCGAAGATTTCTCGCTTTTTACTTAAAAACACCAAATTCTAATGTTATGATTAAGTCACCCGTGTACTTTATGTGCTCCAGCTTTAACGCCATAGCTGATAATTCGGTGGTGTCGGAGAAAAACGGGATAAGTCGCATATATAAAATTTTCAGTAGATTGGTCTATAGTTCAAAATCTTACAACAAATCAGGCGTTTTACTGAGTGATATTTTTTTCACATGGAAATATATAAAAAATCAAGTCATTTTAATGGTACCATAGAATATATGTATATATTTGACATTTTAAAAAAAAATCGACTTATCCCTTTTCGAACTACCTGAAAATCTACTTATCTCATATGTCACGTTTTAGTAAACAAAGAAAATAAAAACTAACGCAGAAATAATGCCCTTTATTAATTTTCTATTCGATTTTTACAAAATAAGCCATGACTAATATATTTCAGCAAAAAAAAACAAAGTTAAAGGTTTCAAAACTTAAAAAAAACACATAGTAGGGTAGGTAAACCCATTATTATTCATCTTCGTCAGAAGACTCCAAATCTGGATGTATGTCATCTGCCTGGTTCGTTGGAAGATTTGTATAAAAATCCCAGAATACGTCAGAAATATACGGCAGCAACTTCATTAGATTGTACCTTTCTTCTTCGCGGTAATAGGCACTAATCCTTTGTAATGCAATTCTGGAATTAACTTTGCTAATGAGCCCCGCTTCCTGAATGAAAGGCACCTATAACTTTCATTGATGCCCGTTTTAAAATACATTACCCCAAGATTATTTTTGTCGATCATTATTTCTCGAATATCACGCCAGTAAAAGAGGTTTCCCGTTTCGTCTTTTTTCTTCACTTGAAGCTCTGTTTTTAGCAGTTTTGCATAATTAAAAAATTTTGACTGGTCCATCTCCACAACTTTGAAAGGATATTTTTTTCCAGTGCATCGAACCAACTGATACCAATCGCGAGGGTGATCGATTTGTCTCTCTGTTTTTTTCTGTTTCTTTTCAATAAGAGCGTGATCGGAGTCAGACTCCATGTGTGTATGGCCGGGCACTAAAAATTTGTGTTGTATTATTTTCAAAGTTGGGTGATATTTCAAGCAGGCAAAATACATCGCTACAATGTGTGCATTTTTGTTTTGCCCAGTGCAAGAATCTGAGTAAAGCGTAATTTTTTCAACATCTGATGGAATGCTATTTAAAAACTGATGTATACATGATCCGACTTGGTTAGCTCCCCTGCCCGCTATAGCTTCATGCCACATGAAACAATAAGCCTGATCATTGTCACAGTCATGGAAAGTTAGGTTAAAGGTCCATAGCTGTCTTAAGTAGAAAGAAATGCCTGTAGAAACCTTTGGAGTTGGAAGGCATTGTTGTAAATCAAACGTGACTGTTTTTGTCGTTGGATCAATTTTTGATAATCGTTTATCTTCTGCCTTCAATTTATAATAGTCGTCAGCTTGTTTCTGATGGGTGTCTAATTCGTGCTGATACTTCAACTTTTCTTCAACGTTACTAGTCAATGTTATCTTCATTCTCAGACAGTCGCATTTCCCACAAGTGTCTTTGCTTGGTTTCTTAATTCCGATATTCAACGTGTGGAAAATCTCTTCGAACTTTGTACGGCTAATAACAACATGATCAGGTTCACTTAAGTATTGACTGTATACCATAGCAAGTGTGTAGTGCGGTGGCAGATATTTTTTATTGCTATCTCGTCTACTATAATGGCTGCGGTAGAGTGGAATTTTAAGAAAAAAAGATGTGACGGCTTCCGTGTATTTATTTTTTGGTGGCTGTCTGCCTCGGCGATCGCTTTCGTATATCCCACTATGATTTTTGTTTAATTTTAGACTGCATAACTCCAAAAACTTATTCGTTTCTCCCAAAGTTTTCCGAAAGCAGACTTTGCAAATTTGATTTTCAATTCCGTTCATTCTTAAAAAATATTTTAGGGAATATTGACGATTTTTGTTGTTCCCAGTTAATATCTTTACTTTGGCAGATGCTTTTTTCAATTTTTTTATCATACTTGTGACATAAGTGACACGTTTTAAATGGGAACCGGCACCCCAATATTCATTGAAGATGATCTGCCTATCAGCATCTGTGAATCGTTCTCTGCATTTCATTCGGCAATCAAGTAATGGTTGCCATACTCTTGCTTGTTTCGCTTTTCCTGACTCGGTAATATATGCCATACTAAAGTTTCTTCTAGGTTTCCTCTCTAGTTTGGCAAATCTTGTTTTTCCTTTAATAGATTTTCTCGTCTTATGCTTTTCATTTGACCTTGTCTGTTTGTTAGCTTCTTCAACTCCTGATCTTCGGATATACTGAATAAGAGGTGCATACTATCGCTGGAATCTGGACTGGAAGGCACATAATCATCTTCGCTCATTCCATCAAAAATTTGCTTGTATTCGTCTGGTAAAGATGGAGGAACACTTGAATCATCGGAATCTAAAAAACAAAAAAATCCGTGATCTACATGTCATGTAACATTGAAAAAATATATTTCAATTTCCGAATTTTTCGTGATTATATTACTTCCCCGCTAATTCTCGTATGAAATGAAAACAGAAACATATTAGGATTATTGTTCTTTTAGTAGCTTTGCCGAACAAACTCATTCTACAAAAAATTAAATTTATTAATTTTACTCCTCATTTTATACCGTAAGTATATCACCTGTTGATAAACAACTAATACGTAACAAATAAATACAGTAAGATCTAATCTGTTTGATATTAAAAATTTGAGGTTAGGTTTCTTTCAGAAACTCAAAACTCCGGATTTTACTTACAACTTCCTGATGAGGTTTACACATAGACACAATTCGCAATCCCCTTGAGACACATTTTTGCTCACCTAAGCTCATTTTTTTAATCGATTAAAGCGAAACTTTCACGACTAGAACCAATCATGCTACGACAATGCAACAGTAACTGAGAACAAAAAGGAATATGTCTATTGTAAACAATGAAAAGGTATTTGGGCGAAATGGGATATGTCAACTTATCTCCCTTAGCCCACAGTGAAATGCGCGATCGTCTTGTACGTAAGGAAATAAGTTGACTTATCTCGTATTGAACAATTTTACGACCAGTTTTGGACTTGACTCCAAAAGAACATCAATTTGGCTCCGTTGTTTGCGTTGATATGACTTATCTCATTTCATCCGAAAGAAGATATGATATTTTAAAGTCGAGGCATGGACATATCTCATTTTGACCCAAAAACGACTTATCCCCTTTTTCTCCGACACCACCGAATTGTGACATTCATCATGATAAAATCAAAGATATATTAGCTGTATTTAGCGACTACTATTATTCTATTTATAACATTTAAGACATGTAGGTGAGTAGGTGTAGCTATTCATTTTTTTTTTCATAAAATGGGTGAGCTATGATTGTAGTTGAAAATATTGTAACATCAAATTACAATTACATTGTCCTTTAAATGGATGTATCTGTTGGGCAATAAATATATTATTATTATTAAGTGTGGGTAGAGACAGTTGATTATGATTTGTTCATCAAAATATTCATACAGATCATATTGTGGCGGACTCATGAATCTGAATATCCATAATAGTTAGTTAACCAGGCTGCTAAGTATATTTTAGCGTGTATGTTCAGCTTTACATCCACCCTTCAACTGGATAGATACACCCACACACATGCCGGTATACAATGTGTTTTTTTTGTTTTTGATTTACTGCCTGGAGGCGACCAAGATATCCAAATAAACGGAAGAAAGGTTACAGGCGGATGGTTCACCTGAATGGGTTCCCTACTTTTAATTTTATTACCCATTGGGTACCGTGGGGCTATAGGGGGATACATGGGAAAGGGGGAACGCCACACGGACTCTGGCGAGGGAACACGTGTGCATGCAACATGCACACATTCTGGCTCCACCTACGAGAACCGCCGGGTGGTACCTCCGCGTTCGACAGTCAGAGACCGCCGTCTACCACCTACGGACAATCACAACATCCATAGCCAAGAGAAAAATTTCTCCTGGGACGGGACTCGAACCCGCACAGCGCACGGCGACTGATCAGGAGACCGAAGAGTCTACTACTGCGGCCAGCGCTGCTGCCTAGATGCCTAGATGAAAGAATCACTTTGTTTTTTGAATGTTCGTATTTATTTTTCAGGGAACATGAATAATGTAGACTGAAGAGTATAAAATTAAATAAAGAAATGGAACAGCACATCTATTTTCTAGCTAATGCGACGTTGCAGTTCAGTATTTTGCGAGGCCAGAAGATGAAGGAGGTATGTGCAACTTCGATGGCTAATTTTTGTACAATGTATTGTAATGATTTTTTTCTATTACTGCTGGGTCTGTTCAATAATTATTTTTTAATTATACATTTTTTTATTATCCTGAAATTTATTACTAGCCATACTGATGAAAGAAATACTTCCTTTATTGAGGATGTGTTATGCATCTGATCATCGAACTGCCTCAATATCGGGAAGGTCAGATTTCGTTATGATGTAAACAAATGAAATCGCCGACACATTCGTGACATTCCTGATATCCGTTGTCGGCATACTTTCAATATTTATAGTTGCACCAGATTTCCAGCCAAGAGAGGCGGCGCTGCCGAGGTTATAGTCCAAGAAGTATCTTCACATCTGCTCGGGAAAATATTCGGATTCGGACATTTTGCATGTTATTCGAAAATGTCTCCTAGTAACAAATCTACATGTGGTCAGGCCCCAAATTGCGTCTCTAATTGTTTGTACAACTTTTTCAAATAAATTCCAAAAATTAATGTTTTCGCTTCATCAACGGTAGTATTCGTTTTTTTTTTTGATATTATTATTAGAGACACTTTTTCAGGTAATTCGTCCTATATCTCGCAAACTGAAAGACTTAAATTTTTGGCCTAATTACCAAAAAAGGATCTTAGGTAGATGTACCAATTCGGATATATTGTTTTTTCTTTTGTAATTGCTTCCACGATTTTTTATTTTTTTCTTCAGTGTCTCTTTTTATCCCGCAGAGGAGTTATCAGAGACGCATATCTTAGTTCAATGGTTTGAGCGGTTTAAACCACACGGGGGCTATGAGAGAGAGAGAGAATATGTTGTGTATTTGCATCTACGTTTAACTTTAACTTTTGTCTTACCAGGATCGTCCGTGAGGTTCGTTTCGTCGTACTTTAGAATATGGGTTGGTGAAAAATCTTTAAGAGAGGCTTCTAAAAAATCAACATACTCACAAATTGTTTCTTGAGAGACAGCAGCTCGCGATCGTTTAATATTCTGACAGAATCTCTCTGACAACTGATCTTTGCGTCTGGCCAAAAAATATTTTGCGAAGTCCGGTCCTGGCAAATTATTTCTGAACCATTTAATGGTTCCTTTTTGATCCAGATAATATTTTACTATACAACGAAGGTCAAATTTGTGGATCGGTGCACGCCACTCTAAAGCTATATTTAAATGATTCACAATGTTCTCAGTTTCCATATCAAGGATAGTTGGGTGACCAACTTGACCAATTTCTGGTCGCTTCTGATGTCGAAACAAAACTGATCTATGCACGCCATATTTTGAAGCAGCCTTTCTGTATAACATACCATTAGCAATATCCCTGAGACCATTCTGGATGGTCTGAGGTTCGTGTTTTTAAGAGTTTTTGCCCCCAGCTTTGTTTTGTACTTGCGGACCATGGTGTCTCGGAAAGCCCCAAAATCTGGAAAAAATACACTTTCAGAAAAAAAAATTCACCCTCACGACAAAAGGAAAAACAAACCAACAGTGTCACTTGCCAAAATCACGTAACCTTTTTTTTTTCTATTTATCACTTGTCAGTAATTTGAATTTCTCTTCATTGATAAAAGAATGCCCATTCCTAGGCCAAACCCCTTTTCAATGATTTTCTTTTTGTAAATTTAATAGTTTATTGATTGTGTTATTTCACTCGTATTATACCTAATTATCTTTCTTTCTCAGCGATTCAGTATGGTGTTGACGATCAGCAAAAAACTCTGCAGTTTTTCTCCTTTAGTTGGCTTCCTATAAAACATATCTTCTTCAAGGCCACTCAAGATTCCTTCCTCTAGAACGTTACGTATTCGGTGATTCGCTTTTCAGCTTCCGTTGAGGTCGTAGTCCAGGGGTCTCTTTGTCGTTTTTCAGACTCTGGGATATAAGGCCCCAAGCACCCATTCATGGACTAGCACCCTTTTCTTTTTGTTGCGTAACTTAAGTTTAGTTATTTTGGGTGCTACGACTTCCATTTGTTTATGGGATTTTGACCCTCAGCGGTAAGTTCTTTTTTTATATACCTTCGGACAGCGTGCCTTAATGCGTGTCCTGATGACGTTCATTCAATATCTGCTTTCTTTTTGTCAATAGAAACAGAAGAAAATCCTCGTCTTTTCTCCCCCAGTCAGTTGCATCGTTGCAGTTTTGCAAATTGGAAGCCATCCCCTTGAAAAAACCCTGATGTGAACGGGTAAAATATCATTCTAATTAACAATTTCATAAATCTTTATACATTTATTATTGCTTATTGAAATTCTTAGAGATTTCTTGATTTTATTAGACATTCTACGTATTCAAATATGGGGGCAATGCCTGGCATCTTCTATTAAATTGATCATGATTTTCATTTTTGACCTGTTATAACTTTTTCGAACAAGGGTATATTAGTTTAGTACATATTTATCTTTTTTCTTTCCTGTTACCATCATAATTTTTGAGACCGAGGCAAGCAGCCCTGCCCAGTGACGTGCCCACTACTGGTGTAACGCTTCCTTTCCGCAAAAAGTCCAGAAAAGATGGAATGCAATGAAGATTCCAACTTTTCTGCACAATCACAGAAAGGGGGTTACCATTAGCTTCCGGTAGCTCAGTCGGTGGCATGAAGACATCTACAGGCGTGTAGCTGTGTGTCGACCATGGCATGG